TTTGTCGGTGGGAAAAGTAACGGAGGAGTAGTACCAGCGTCTAAGAACTCAGTAGCAGCGGGCGAAAGACCAAGAAGGTGGCGAAGCACACCAACAGGTCTAGCACCTCCAGCAGCAGCAGCTCCAGCACCTCCAGCACCAGCAGCTCCAGCACCAGCAGCTCCAGTACCTCCAGCACCAGCAGCACCTCCAGCACCAGCAGCTCTAGCACCTCCAGTACTAGCAGCACCTCCAGCACCAGCAACTCTAGGACCTCCAGCACCAGCAGCACCTCCAGCACCACCGACACCAGCAGCTCCAGCACCTCCAGCACCAGCAGCACTGTCAGCACCTCCACTAGTATCTCCAGCAACTCCAGCACCAGCAGTACCTCCAGTAGTACCTTTAGCACCTCCAGTACCGGCAGTACCTCCAGGACTAGTAGCTCCAGTACTAGCAGCACCGTACCCTCCTCCACCAAGACTGCCTCCTTGAACGATCCACGTACGAATCTGCTGCGACGAGAGCGTCTCGAGTAGACCAGGCTACTGTGGTTGTCCAGCTCCAGGGCCTCCAGCCGGGTCAGCCCCAGCTCCAGCGTCACTAGGACTCGCAGCACCCTCAGAGTCAGCACTTCCAATCGCAGCACCCCCAGAACCCTCACCCTCTGTCTCAGCACCCCAAGAACCCTCACCCCCAGTGTCACCACCAGCAGCACCAGGCTGCTGAGGCGGCGAAGACAGCCTCCGTGGAAAACCAGGGGGGGTCTCCAAGCGAGGAGAGCGACGAGTGCTTGCCGTGTCGTCCGCGGCGGGGTCACCCCCCTTTGCTGGGCCAGAGGAGTCATAAGAGATCTCCACAAGCTCATCCAAGGGGGGTGGGTCTACCTGAGACACACCTGAAGGAGCAGGACCCTGTGGGGGAAGTGGGTCTATCGGGGGGGGGGGACTCGTACCAGGAAGAGAGGCGCTAAGGGGACCGGGTGGGACGCGTGCGGGTGTAGCTTGTAGAAATAGACAGACTCGTCAAAGGTGATGTTCTGGGAGGAGAAGACTCGACGCGAACGCGGGTGGTGCCACGGCGGGGCGTCGGTGGGGAAGCCAAGGAAGACGCAGCGAAGAGTGCGAGAGAAGATCTTGCTCGCTTTGGCATCGCGAACAAGGGAAAGCACGCCCCAAACCCGAAACACCGATGCATCGCCAGGCTTCCCCGTCCACCAGAGTGTGGGCGAGGTCTCTGGCTCAGAGACACGGGGCTAGAGGTTGAGCTGATGCGCAGCGTATCGGACTGCAGACGACCACAGAAAATGGGGAGCAGCCGCATGGATCATGGAGGTACGAGCAACTCCCATGATCAAGCCAATGCGATGCTCAGCAATCCCATTTTGCTGAGGAGAAGCCGGAAGCGTGAACGTCTGGCGGATGCCATCGTCTCGACAGAACTCCTCAAGGAGGCCAGAAGAGAACCCACCGCCCCTGTCATAGTGCAGACGCAGGACTGGGAAGTCCCGCTGAAACCTCTCACGCAGCTGGTGACGAGTAGCACGAATCCAGGGGATCAAAACACCGCTGACGTCCGCCTTGCGCCGCAAGGGGAAGACAGTGGTGTAGCGTGTGTAGTCGTCAACCACCAGGAGGAAGTAGCGCTCCTGGTCCGTTTCACTGACGGGGGCCGGGCTTCACACGTCCATGTGGAGAGTCTGCAGAGGAGCAGTGGTGTGAGGAAACTCTGAGGAGTGAGGAGCAGCACGCTGCCGCCCCTCGACGCAGGGAAGGCACGGCGGTGCAGGCTAGCGTGGGAGGGAGGGCAGGGACCTGGGAAGGTCAGAGACAAGGAGACGAGAGTGCATGATGCGGAGACGCGGCAGCGAGGGGTCACCGAGGCGGTGGTGCCAGAGGAGAGTCTGGTGAGAGAGTACCCGACACGAGCAAGACGCTGCCAGCTGACCAGACGCAGACACCCGACTCGACGCAGCCACCTGACCGGACTCAGCCACCTGTGCAGACGCAGTGGTCAGTGTGTACAGACCGGACCCAAGCTGACAAGTGAATGTAGCAAGGTGACGGCTAGTCCGTGAGCACGTACAGATCGCCACACAGTGTCCTCCAGGAATGAAGGTGTAAACCCATACATCCTGGAGAACTGCGTTGCTCAACAAGATCGTCGAGAACGCGGGGAGGTGGAGACCTTATAGAGACCCGGAGGGAACTGCCGGACATGGGAGGACAGTGGAGGCTCGCGCAACTACTGGGCCCCCAGTGGGGTCAGCCAGTGAGACTGGGACAGGTGCTGCGAGTGGTGTGACTGTGGTGCAATCACGAAAGAAGCAACGTGACGCGCCTGAGTCAAGTGTGAAAGTGTGCAAGGCATCAGCTGAGGCAAGACTTGTGGCAGCAGACGCACTAGCACCTAGAGCGTCGGCAGACTCACGAGCACCTAGAGCTGCAGTAGACTCACTAGCACCTGGAGCGGCAACAGAATCACAAGAACTGAGAGCAGCAGCCTCTACACAACCAGGGACGCATCGCTGAGAAACACAGGCGCGAAGCCGCTGCAGGGAGAACGTGCTCTGCGGACACTACTGCCGCCGCTATGCAGTACCCATAAAACCAAAACCTCCACCACCAGGACTGCCTTGCTGAATAACCCACTCACGAAGCTGCTGAGGGGTGGGGTTGTCCGGGAGAGGCAGTGACTGCTGCTGTCCACCCCTAGCTGCTGCAACTACCGTGATAGTGGCCATGGCAGGCAGTGACGGTCAGGAGCAGGTCCAGCTCCTCCAGCACCAGCAGCACCTCTAGCACTCCCAGCAGCACCTCCAGCACCAACAGCACCTCCAGCACTCCCAACAGCACCTCCACCAGCAACAGCAGTAGCACGAGCAGCAGCAGCAGCAGCAGCAGTAGTAGCAGCAGGGCGGCTCGGTGGGGCTGGCGAATGAGGCAGGGCGGCGCGGCTCGGGTTGGGCAGCGCGGCTCGGGCTGGGCGGCGCGGCTCGGCCTTGGCGGCGCGGCTGGGCAGGGCTGGGCAGCGCGGCTGGGCAAGGCAGGGCACGCCGCGGGCTGCAGGACAGGGCGCGCGGGCCTAAGGGCAGGGCAGCGCGATGCACGGGCTGCAGGGCAGCTGGGCGCGCGCTGGACAGGGCAGCAGGGCGCGACGCGCTGGGCGGCAGGGCGCGACGCGCGGGGTGCAGCAGGGCGTGACGTGCGGGGCAGTAGGGTGCGAAGCGCGGGCTGCAGGGCGCGACGCACGGGCTGCAGCAGGGCGCGATGCGCAGGGCATAGGGGCGCGCGCTGGGCAGGGCAGCAGGGCGCGACGCACTGGGCTGCAGGGCAGGGCAGTGCGCGGGCTTAAGGGCAGAGCAGCGCGGCTCGCGAGCTGCAGGGCAGGGCGGCGCGCGGGCCTAAGGGCAGGGCAGCGCGATGCACGGGCTGCAAGGCAGGGCGGCGCTCGCTGGGCAGGGCAGCAGGGCGCGACTCGCAGGCTGCAGCAGGGCGCGATGTGTGGGCTGCAGGGCGCGACGCGCGGGCTGCAGCAGGGGAGCGCGCTAGGGCAGGCAGTGCGAGTAGCTGCAGGGCAGCGCGACACTGTGCGAGCAGGGCCGGATAGCGCAAGGGCGCTTCGGGCAGGAACTAGCAGAACTATCGGTGGGCCATAAAAATGTAACAGGTTTCCTGCTCTGAATACCATATCAGAGTCAACTGTGCAGGAATGATTGACTAACAAGCAAGGATGAGTACAAGTACTAGGATTGACCTAAAGTGTTGTACTCAGTAGAGGCTACCCCACTACAACCTACACATACAAATATAATTTGACACAAAACATATTAAGGAAACCTAGCTGGGTGGGGCCACAGGGCTGGGCATGCAATGCCCAAAGCCTCTCTGCGACGCCCTAAGCCCCTAGGAAGTCTACTGTATTTGGTAAAGTGTGCTATGGATACCTAAGACTGAACACTCCATAACCACCTTATTCATGCATAAACCTAATAGGCATTCCGTTTCCTAGCCACTGTACTATTGCAGACTGTACTGAGACTCCACGAACTGTTATGTTCGTCCACCAGTTGTAGCATAGCGCTACGTGTAACATTCCAGGTCGCACAAACGCAGCGACAGTGTTTCCGCTTCGAATAACCCTATCCAGCTCGTCATGCAAAACCGACGCCGCAGCAAACAGCGCGTGCCTCTCTCCCGACGTGCACCGATTTGTCTTCCACACAACCTTGCTCCACTCCCTTCTCTTTATCATCCCCATAGGTGCCCACGACACTTCTTGTAAGCAGTCGCCAGCATATGTATGGTTATTGGGTAACAGCCCGCCAATCATGTTCGCGTTAATGTCAAAGAATGCACGGAACAGAAATATCGGGGTTGCAACGTTTCGCAGTATGTATTGCGGAAAGAAACACTTCCAATGATCAGCCTCCAGTAAGGCTGACGAGTTATATGGAAATGGGAGAAGAGGTGGGGGAGAGTAGGAGGGAGATGTAGGGATGGTGTGGAAACGGCAATGACACAGGGAAAGGGGATGGGAGTGAGGGGAGGAAGCATTAGGAAGATGGAAAGAGGTAGTAGAGGACAAGAGGACAGGAGTTTGGGGACGTGGCCAAGGAGGGAACGAGAAGTGAGATTATTAAAGTAAACGTGGAAGGCAAAGCTTCCTGCACAGATGGATGGAAGCCGATATACAGAAGCTCCCGTGCTGATATAAAACCCCACTGTAACGGAATCTGATTACAAAATCCACATAAAACCCCTCTCTCGAAAACTTTTGAGTAGTCTCAAAAGTTGAATCCACATCCAACCCCTCTCAGGAAACATTTTCTATACCAGCAAACCCATAGCAGGCAGCACCTCGTGCTGATGTATGCCATGTTTCACGGCTCATCTCAATCCGCTCTTCTGTCATATCCCATCTCACCCTGCATGCAAGCAGGCCAGCCGGGCTTGTGCAGATCAACCAGGCTCCAAGCATAGGCACGGCATGTGGTAACCCTGTAACCCAATCCATGCATTTCATCTCATCTCACCATGCATGCAAGCAGGCCAGCTGGGCTTGTGCAGATTAACCAGGCTCTGTGCGTTGGCACGCCACGTGTTCCCTCCCTTTCGGTCCTTGGAATCTGAAAATCGTATCGTGTGGGGGATGGGGCATACAAGGGGAAGTTGGGGAAGGGGGGAGCACGGGAGGAATGGGGGAAACGGCTCTCAGAAGAGCAGAGACACGCCACGTGTTCCCTCCCTCTCGGTCCTTGGAATCTGAAAAGTGTAATGTGTGGGGGATGGGGGATAGAAGGGGAAGTTGGGGAGGGGGGGAGCAGAGGCCAAAGAGGGGGGAGTGGTCTTTCAATACTGTAAAGAAGCCAATAATGTAACCCAATGTAACGAGGTGACTCTTGAGTCAACACAAACGTCACCTCGTTTTGAGTCGACTCAAAAGTCGCCTCGTTACTATGGGAGCGGCTCTTTCAATATTGTAAAGAAGCCAATAATGTAACCCGACCCTCCAGTGAAGAACCCTGAGCCTGGGATGCATTATGCTCACTGGGGACCCACCATAATGCATTTAGTTGCTGCTCGGGGGAAGGTGGGATGCGGTTGGGGCAGAAGAGAATGAAGGTTCACCAACAAAGAAGCCCGAGTCGGAGACGCATTTAGCTGCCGCCCAGGAAAGACCCCTAGCCTGAATCTGACTACACAGGCTCACCAATGAAGAAGCCCGAGTCGGAGACGCATTTAGTTGCCGCCCAGGGGAAAGCGCCGGCGATGCGATCGCAGAGCGCCACGGCTGCTTGGCCGCCCGCTGAGCTGCCCACGAGGAGGATCTGATCCGCGGATCTGATTCCCTGCTTGGATTTCAGATCTGATTGCGTTCGGGCGAGGGGTTGTCAAGGAAAGGGTGAGGGTGAGTAAGCGGCAAGATGTGGGGCAAGGCAAAGGGAGGGAGACGTAACAGATTCAGTCGAGTGAAGGAACCAAAGAGTGGCAGAATTCAAAAAGAGGGATGAAAGATGGGCGACAGAAGTCCCGTCACCTACTCAGGCTCAGGCATTCCAGCAACACACCTTGAATCACAGCTTGAACGATCTTCCACCCATCCAGGTAAATCGTGGTGCTGTTACCATTGCTCCCAACCTCCACCCTCCCTGCCGTGCCTGAGTAGCCGCCACCGTCGCAGTAGATGAGACGAACGAGGTTCCAGTTGTGGAAGTGCGGGTTGATGCTGCTGTTGCTGCTGAGCATGCCATAGAAACCCGGAGAGAGGTTCTGAAGAGGGGAATGGGGGAGGGGCGGAGGGGACAAGAAGGACGAACAAGGTTCCAGCTGTGAAATTGCGGCCTCATTGCTGCTGTTGAGAATGCCGTTGAAACCCGGCGAGAGGTTCTGAAGCAGGGAGGGGGAAAGGGGACTCCCGCACTCGGAGTGAGTGCGGGAGACGAACGAAAGGGGAAAACGAGGTTCCAGCTATGGAAGTGTGGGTTGACTTCACTGCTGCTGCTGAGAATGCCCTTGAAATCCGGAAAGAGGTTCTGAAGGCGGGAATGGGGGCGGGGAGGGGGAAAGGGGAGTGCGGGAGACGAACGAAAGGGGCGAACAAGGTTCCAGTTGTGAAATTGCGGGTTGTCTTCACTGTTGCTGCCGAGAATGCCCTTGAAATCCGGGAAGAGGTTCTGTGTTGGTATAGAGGGGTTGGAAGGTGCAGGCAAGGAGCGAGTTTTATGGCCCGTTGCCGCATCAACCAGCCCGGAGCAGCATTCCGCGTTGGTGGGGGCTTGAGGAACGAATGTGCTGCTGCCGCCGTGCGGATAGCAGCAGGGTGGGCCCTTCGGGATAACGACGTGTATGAAGAAGTGTTCTGAGACGTCTCAAAACACTTATTTATACAGAGGAAGCGTCTTCAGCATAACGTACCGCGTTGGGGGGATCATGAGGATAGAAGGTGCTGCTGCCGAGTGGCGCCTTGGGCGGGGAGGGAGGCTTTAAGGGGTAGAGAGCAGCGTACCACGTTGGTGGGGTCTTGAGGATAGAAGGTGCTGCTGCCGAGATACGCCTTGCTCCTGCGGAGGCACTGGTCAGGCGAGAAGCACCATCCCCCGTGCGGCAGGTAGATGTGCCACATGCTCTTGCCGCTGCCCGTGCCCGGCCGGAAATAGTACCCTGGGGGGCTGGGGAGCGGAGGTCGGGTAGGAGAGGAGGGGTTCGGAGGGGTTCGGAGGGGAGAGGAGGGGAGAGGAGGGGAGAGACAGGGGGATGGAGGGCCGGGAAAGGAGGAGGGGTTGGAGGGATCGCAGGGGAAGGAGGCGCTGCTGCCTGTCGCTTCGCTTTTCATCCCCTCTCTCCCCACCTTTTCCCTTCCGCGTTTCCCCCCTTCCCGACCTCCCGTCACGGCATTTCGCGTCCAGGGATATTTTCGCCAGCAGTTCGCTAACAGAACGAATTGCTTCGTTTCTCTTCGCTTTCTCCCCACTCTCGAGCCCCCTCCTTCTTTATCCATTTACCCCCTCCCCTTCCCCTTCCCCCCAGCCTTTCCGCTCCAAATCGTACCTCCCGTCGAGGCATTTCGCGTCGAACGAGTTATTCGCCAGCAAAACGAGCCGTGGCGTGGCCGGCGGCGCCACCGCCGGCGGCAGAGGCGGATTTCCCGCAACAGGTACTACTGCAGCGAGTAGCGACACCGCGAGTAGCGACAGGAGGTACTGCAGGGACACCGCGACAGCGTTAATCTTCGAGCCGCCGAAAATTATCATCCATCCCGCCGCTTTATCGCTGGAAGAAGCAATTTTTCCACCAGACGCCGGTTCAAACGGCGACGAAGCGTGGGTGCTGAATCCACGGCGGCTGTACGCGGTAACAACAGTACCGCTAGTCGTTGAAGCGCGTGACCGAAGCTTGGTGAATGCAGCCATTGTAGTTCGGCTTAGGGTAAAAGCAGCCAGATACTTTTCGCAACGTATCCGCAATTTCCAGCAGAGTTCCCACTTTTAAGTCCGTTTTGGGCAGAAACCTTTCCGCGATGCACGGAGGAGTTAGCAAAAGGCCACACTGTCACAGTACCGTTCCGGGAAAAGCGTCATATGCCGGGGAGCACTAACTGCGCTTGTTTTATATGCGCGAGCTGTGGCACGGATGGATAAGAACCGCACAGCTTTGGTGACACGGCTCGAGCCGGCTGCTAGAGACTAGTAAGTTCGTCACAATCCGCAACGGTTGCGGGGTTTGCTCAGAAACCGGATTCTGTTTTGCACGCATGATCCAACAACCAAGGGACGTGGGGGGTACTTCCATATCCAGTTCAAATCGGTGGTACGCGGTGAAAATCGGTTTCGCTCGTTCACCGCTTGAAAGCTTGACATTTCAGAAACGTGAACCTGCGACCGGATAATCAATCTCCATCTAGCAGCGCTTCGGGAACGGTTTGGCAAATTGAGCCAGCGACTCGGTCTTAGCCGGCGAACGGAATCGCGAATTATGCCGGCGAATTTAGATAACCCAGATCGCGACATTGCGCTGCGAGCAGGGAACTTCTAGGTCTGCTGAGAGCAGACTGACGGATCATTCCCGCCAATTTTTCAGAAAACGTATACCTTAACTCCCAACTCGCTAAATTGATGGGAAGGAGCACTAGAGATGTACTGCAAGCTTGGTAATTTATGCTGATATAGGAGTGGTGTTTGGATGCTTTACCCTCACAATTCACACCTCTGACCATGAGAACTAAACAAATCTGCACAATGGAAAAATACACGAACTCATACATTGTGAGAACTTCAACATGTTCATTTCCCTAGCAGGTTCCTACAGTTATTCAATTAAAACAACTAGAAGGACCAGGGTGGGGGCTAGCGCTGCAATTGCCCAAATGTCTGACAGAAGTACAATTCATGGTAGCGCACATTCATGGTTGGTAGTACTCGCAACTCAAGCACGTGTGACGGTATGGTTGCATTGCGTTTGCAAGTGTACCTGCTAGGCCATTCTGAACAGAGTATTGTTTTTTGTGCAGAATAGATACATGGACAGATGATGGCATGCATGGATACCAAAAATTATGAACACTTCATCAGTGGCCTACTTTCAGAAACTAAACACAGCGGAATGGGTTGGATTGATTGGGCTGGGGTACAAATGCCTAACCTGTCAAACTTATATGCAATAGTCTGTGTAGACTGTAGTGGGGTAGATAATATGGGGTACAACACTTTTAGGTTTTCCTACTTGTACCCACCTGTTTCCTACTGCATTCATTCCTCATTCTTTCACATGGTATAAAGCAGGTTCCCTAGTGGGAACGTTTCCTAGGGCCCACCGAAAATCGAAAAAAAAAAAAATTCATGCCCGGAGCGCGCTTCGCCCCTGCCCGAGTCGCGCCTCGTGTGCCTGACCTCCCGTCGCGTCCCCTGCCCTTAGCGGCCCGTCGCGTCCCCTGCCCTTAGCGGCCCGTCGCGCCCTCTTACGGCCCCTCGCGGCCCCTTAGCCGCTCCCTCGCGGCCCCTCTCACGGCCCCTCGCGGCCCCTTCCCGGCTCCCTCGCGGCCCCTCGCGGCCCCTCCCACGGCCCCTCGCGGCCCCTCGCGACCCCTATCACGGCCCCTCGCGGCCCCTTCGCGGCCCCTCGCGGCCCCTCGCGGCCCCTCACACGGCCCCTCGAGGCCCCGCGGCCCCTTCTCAGCCGCCGCCGCCCCTGCCCCGGCCGCAGCAGCCGCCGCCGCCGCCGCCGACAGCAGCTGCCGCCGCCGCCGCCGACAGCAGCAGCCGCCGCCGCCGCCGCCGACACCAGCAGCCGCCGCCGCCACCACCCCTGCCCGTCGCGGCACCCTCGCCCCTGGGGACCTTCGCACGCCCCCCGCGATCCCGTTGCGTCGCCCTAGGGACCCGCGCGCGGCCCTCGCCATCCCGGTGCGCCACCCCGTGGGACCCGTGCGCCGCCCCCGTGGACCCGCACGTCGCTCTGCGGCCCCCCTCCCCGCACACCTAAGTTCGCTTACCGCACACCCGCGTTCGCTTCACGCACGCTTGTGCACGCTTCGCGCACACCTGAGCTCGCTTACCGCACACTCAGGGTATGGGGGTGACGGGTATGGGGGTGGCGGGTGTGTGAGCCGTCCCCGGCTCCTCCTCCTCCTCCGTCTCCCACTGCTGTAGCCGCCGCTGCTGCAGCTGCCCCTGGCCCCTGGAGCAGCCGCCCCTGTAGCAGCCGCCCCTGACCTCTGGAGCAGCAGTCCCTGCAGCAGCCGCGTAGCCCTCGCCCTTCGGTGGTAGCGGCCTCAACATTGCCGCTGTTGTACTCCAGCCGTTCTTGCCACTGGTGAGCTCTGCTGTTACTGCTGTTACTGCTGCTTTTGCTACTACTGCACTTTCTACTGCTACTGCTGCTCCTGGCGTGGCCAGATGCAGCTCTTGCGCCGTCCACGTGAGTCCCTCGCCCCCCATCAGCTTCGTGAGTGGTACGCTAGTTGGGGTTGTAGGGGTGGCCGCACTGCTACTGCTGCTACTGCTGCCACTGCGGCTACCACTGCTCCTGCTGCCCCAGGCGGTGGCCAGATGCAGCTCCAGCGACGTCCGCGTGAGTCCCTCACGCCCCAGCAGCTTCGTGAGTGGTACGCTACTTAAGGTTGTCGGGGTGGCTGTAGTGAGAGTCGTTCTGGCGTGAGTAGTTCGGGAGCTGCCTGTCGTGGCCAGGTGCAGCTGCAGCGTAGTCCGCGCGAGGTCCTTTTGCCCCAGCAGCTTCGTGAGTGGTACGCTCAGCGTGGAGGGTCACGGAGTACTGCTCGCTGTCCGTACGACATTCGCACTGGTGCTCGGACTGGTCAGCCTTGCGGGACGTTTGGTCACGCAGAGTCCCGCTGCTTCGCCCGTCTGAGCGACGCCTAGCGTACGGAGTTTGGCAACGCCGCAGAGCTCCCCGACTGTGTGGAGCTGCTTAGGCAGAGGGTCGATATCTATGCTCTTGACTATGATGCTATGCTCACTTCCATGTATGCATTGCCTACTAGTGATGTGGGTGACTGTTACCTGTGTGTTCCACCTGACCCAGGCATTGAGGCTGCTACTTTAGGTGCAAGTGAGGCTGCTGCTCTACGTGCTAGTGCGTCTACTCCTCCAGGTGCTGGTGAGTCTGCTGCCCCAGGTGCTGGTGAGTCTGCTCTCTCAGGTACCACGTCGGCTCAGGTTTTACACACCTTCACCCTTGACTCGGGTGCTTCCCGCTCCTTCTTTCGAGACCGCACCACACTCACGCCGCTCAGTCGGCCGGTTGCAGTCTCCCTGGCAGACCCCTCTGGGGGTCCTGTCCTTGCCTACTTCTCCACTGTCTTACCGTGTCCGGCGGCCCCTTCTGGCTCCATGTCAGGTCTTTACCTCCCCTCGTTCTCTACGAATTTGGTGAGTGGTGCTGACCTATAGTATGGAGGGGTTGACCAGTTCACTCCTGCGCGTCAGCGAGTGACCCACTGTACGTGTGCTCGCACTGGCCGACACTTGGCCACGTTTACCCGTCAGCCAGGGTCGAGCCTGTACACACTAAATACTGAGTCGAGTCAGGTATTTGCTGCAGCGTCCAGGTCTGGTCCTGAGTCTGCCCCCTGCTCGTGTCGTCTCCTGTCTCACCAGACTCTCCTCTGGCACCACCGCCTTGGTCACCCCTCCCTGCCTCGTCTCCAAGGCATGGCCTCTCGTTTCCTTGTCTCGGGTCTCCCCCGGTCCCTCCCTTCTCTTCCTCCGGGGCCTGCCCCCACCTGCGTTCCCTGCGTCGAGGGGCGGCAGCGCGCCGCTCCTCACTCCTCCGAGTTTCCTCCGACAGAGGCTCCGCTGCAGACGCTTCACATGGACGTGTGGGGCCCAACCTGCGTCCGTGGATAGGGTCACGAGCGTTACTTCCTGCTGGTGGTTGACGACTACTCGCGTTACACCACAGTCTTCCCTTTGCGCAGCAAGGGTGAGGACACTGAGGTGTTGATCGACTGGATCCGCGCAGCTCGTCTCCAGCTCAGAGAGAGTTTCGGCTCGGACTTTCCTGTCCTGCGTCTGCACTCCGACAGAGGAGGTGAGTTTTCCTCTGACCTTCTGCGAGCCTTCTGTCGTGCACAGGGCATCCGCCAGACGTTCACGCTTCCGGCCTCTCCACAGAAAAATGGGATTGCTGAGCGCCGCATTGGCATGGTCATGGA